GTGTGTTAGGCTGGGCTCTCTAAAGAAACAAAACCAATGGCATTTGTATAGCGAGAACAGAATCTATACCAAGAAAATGGCACACACCGTTGAAAATAGGTTAAGTTCAAGTCCACACAGGTACCAAGTGTGTGGGTTAGAATTTAGGCTGGAGACGTCTCCTTACTCATGCATCTGCAGGCACTGATGAACTCAAGATCAGCAGGAAGGCAACAGGCTGGTGACGGCAGTGGTGCATGAATTCACGGTCAGCAAGTCAGATGGCCGACACGGCAGACTCCCAGGGTAGTCAGGCATCATGGCAGGCCCTTGAATGAAGTCCAAAGAACTGGAGACTGATGAGCCAGACACGGGATCCAGACCCAGCAAGAAGCAAGCAAGGTTTCCACAGTCTATTTTTACAGGAAGTAGGCCACACCCCAAGGAAACCTTTCAATTGCATCAGGCCTGTGACCTGAGGAAGGAGATTTCACACTACCATCCTCTTACAACTGCTTGACTGCTCACAGCAGACCCCATCACAACGTAGCTTACACAAGGTTAGGCCACATCAGGAGGCATTACTGGGCTTCAACTGTGAAACCACTGAGAAGGCTAGCCCAGCCTAGTTGACCCAGAACTCAGCTATCACACCCAGGTTCCACTCCTGGTCAGTGCCCGCATGCCCGGCCACCACCTATCTGTCAGTGGGAGCGTGTGTGTTTCTGTGACGCTGTGTAAGTTCCAGCACAGTTTTCAGAGAAAGGGTCTAGAAATCTAATTCCCAAATGCCATGGGCCTGGGAAGTGTTTCCTTCTGTTTTATGGGGTCACCATGAGTTGAGAGCCAACTCAATAGCTGCAAATGATGTAGGCAAATAAATGGAGGCTCCAAGTGCCTGAGGAAAGGCCACATTCTCACAACAGCTCTTCACTGGCCCGGCGTGTCAGACTCCAAGGTGCAGACCCTTAACGCAATGACAAAGACCAAGACTGAGTAGAAACACGCAGCAGGCTCCTTCAGCTGAGTATTGGAATAGTACGCAGAGAGCAGATAAACAGCATTAGGACAGATTTAGGGCTGGGCAGACTGTGATGGAATAGGACATTTCATTTAATCCCCACAGTCCAATTAAGTATTACCCTGAATTTACAAATGAGAAAGTTGCGGTGAACAGAGGTTGATTTGCTAAAGTGGAAGGGCTCAACCCCAGACTTCATATTCTTAGGCTTCTATGCTTCCCACACACATGCCCTTGGAGTGAAATCAATGCTCATCGTTAGAGAAGGGCACCTGTCGGAAGTTTACCTCTGTGTATGTGATTTGTTCTTTAGCTTCTGTTGTCATGGGAGAGTGCTCCTTGGACCTTGAACGACTGGAGACAGAGCAGATGTGCTGTAACTGCCACACGTGTGGGGCAGAATTCCTCCATAGAGTTTTCAAGGCTGTGATCTCATTGAAGCAGGTACCAGACTTATCTTCTGAGGTTCAAATGAGAGACGTGTCACATAATAGCTGAGCACTTAATCATTTGTACCACCCAGGGACAGTGTGTTCCAATTGATGACTGAGTTCCACTTATAAACACATCATAATATTTTTCAAGTATAAAATGAGAGGCTATGTATATTAAGAAATGCCGAAGCTGCAAGGTATATTTGGCTTCTTATGTGGTTATTTGTCAATTGTTATGATAAAAGTTTAATTTTTCTCCCAAAGCCTTATTTGTACAAGCAAATGACATAAAATATATACATTAAGGTAAAAGTTGAGTAGCAAGAAAAACCACCTGTATGTCATTATCTTATGAATTGTAGATATCTACTTGTATTCGATAACATAAAGTAGGCCTTAATAAAGTTGATTTTTAATGTAATATTACATTAAAATTACAAAAATATTACAAAATTTGTAATTTGTAATTACAAATTACAAACATCACAATCCACACATTTATCCATTGTGTCAAACACGTCTGTACATATGTTGTCATCATCTCCAAAAGCCTTTGATGAGATTTCTTTTGAATTACAAACACATTCATATAGGTTGCCAGATAAAAGTTAATTGCATTACTTTACACCAGCAATAAGTAGATGATACTATTATTAGAAGAATATCAACCAAAAGAAATTAAGTGAATGAGAAAGACTGAAAGAGAATTGATGTCTTTGGATGATGGTGTTGGTAAGGAATATTTAATATAACAGGACAACCAGAAAAAAGAACTCACCTTTGAAAGAAATACAGCACAAATGAGAATTTTTCTTATGTGCTTTATACTTATTGTCAGAAGGGACCAGATCCTAAAGGATATCATATTTGGTAAAGAAGGTTATCTCCAGAAAAGAGGATGACCTTTAAAGAGACAGATTAACACACTGGCTGTAACACTAGACTCAAGCAGTATCCATTGGGAGGACGGTATAAGACCAAACAATGCAAAAAAAAAAAAAAAAGAATATAACCTGTGACAATGAATTGTACATGTAGAAATTGTTGAATGGGTATGGTGGAGCAGGGACTTCAAAATGTTTGTGGACCAATGGAACTGAAGGATAATGGATTTTTTTCATGAACCTTTTGAAGACCCTTCCTATGTGTTGTATTTCTTCACCACAAATAAAATGAGTATCAATTTTTTTAATTAAAAAAGGCCAAGAAATGCTTTGTCTTATTGTACATAGGGTTGTTGAGCCAGAACTGATGTGACAGCATTCAACAGGTGTGTGTGTGTCCATATAAATTCATGCATATATATTATTTATGTCTCTTTCACTGACCAATATGTTCATTAAATAATGTCACGAGTTTTTGAAAATGAAACAAGCCAATGAGTGTCTCAACTGCAAAGTGGTGTCTGGTTTCTGTTTGGTGCTGTTTCCCTCCTTTCCCATCAGAGTGAAGAACAGGAACGAGAAAGGAGGATGCTGGGACACAGGGAATGATCGAAGCATCTGCAGACGTCAAGACATATTGACGGATGGTTTCCGCACTGGCTCAGAACGTACGGTAATTGTAGTCTCTTCACAAGCCATTTCTAACGTGGTGGTCATTAATGGTGCCGGTGGGGAGAGAGTTGTTCTACCCATTATTATTGTGAGTATGTGATCGTTTTTGGTATTGTTCTGGCTCTCCATCTTCTGGGAAGCTGATAGAATTGCAGTTCCAGCATCCTGAAGGACAGGGACATCTGACGACCTCTGCCCATGAATTATGATCAGAATTGATGACCACACTTAACGGCTGATACCAGACCCTCTAGACTCGTCTTACTGCCATTGAGTGCATTCTGACTCTTGGGGACCGTACAGGACAGAGTAGACCTCCTAGCCCCATGGGTTTCTGAGACATTAAATGTTTAAGGGAGTAGAAAGTTTCATCTTTCTCCCTCAACATAGCTTTATGATAAAAAGTCTAATTTTTCCCCCTTATAAAATAATTTTTATAAGATTATTTTGGATTACAAACACATTCACATCAAGGTTGCCAGATAAAAGTCAACTGCATTACTTTACACCAGCAATGAATAGATATTTATTGTAGTTGACCTTGAGATAAGCAACCTCATGAGCAATCTATGCCACCAGGGCTCCCCACATCCCTCTTTGCCAGGCACTGCTAATACGGACAGCCAAGATAGTAGTGGCTCCACCCACTTGGTTCTAAGAGGTCAGTAGAACCCTTACTGATGCTCAGTCAACATATTGACTATGCTGTATTTGGTGGCTGTTTCTCTCCTGCAGGACAGCTGAGTCTTCCCTAACAGATAAGCCAAACAGAGAGGAATTAGAATCCTAGCCCTCTGGCTGTAACCCTCAGGGAATGAGGTTTCCTCTGTTTTTTTTCAGGAGACCATAGTGGTGTAGGGTGTGTCCTAAACCTAATCACTTCTGAGTGGTAAGGAGCAGCAAGGAGGCGGGGAACAGGCAGACAGGAATGAGACACACATCCAAGAGACATTATCCAATGTGTGGGGGGTGGGATGGTGGTGTGTGTGCTAAGTAAGCGAGGCAGGCAAGGGTAGCAGGGCCAAGATCTCTGCCCACCCCCCAAATCACTGAGGAGCAACTCAGAGCGCATGTCCCATGAGCAAATTTAGAGCTCAGTCTTCCTGTTTGGAACATCTGTGCAAATTCACGCATCTCTTCTGCAACCCTTCGTTCTCATCAGAAACCAGTATCCTCTCAGCTTCCGCACCTCTGCCACTGCCATCACCTTCAGCCTGTGAGCGCACTCTTTGCAGTCAGAACACCTAAGTGGATATCTAGGGGTGTACACAACAAATAAATCCATGATCTTTCGATGACTTCATTGAAAGACACTAAGTAAGACTCAAATAAATAGAGATAAATCATCATAATGCATAGAAGAATCAATACTAGAAAGACAAAGCAAATTTCCTACATTACTGAAGAATCCCACTCAAATGGAACCGTGACATGCAGTTTCAGCATAATTGCTGGGAGGCTGGGCCCTGGGTCTGCAGCAGAACTGTGGTTTTAGCAGAAAGTGCGGGGTTGTGGGCTTCAGCCCAAGGATGGAAGCAACTTTTTGATCTCATGGCAACTTCTTCCCTTTGGTCTACCAGTTCTTTCCACACTTTAGTAATCTGCTGAACTCTCTCAGATGATTGTTGTGTTTCTGATTCTACCCCGACTGACGCACAAACACATACACAGCAATAAGAATGATAAAGGAATGCATAAGAATAGAAACTAATAGCTTTAGGCGCACAACACCCTCTGGGAACAATCAGAAAGCCTTCAGTTGTATAGGTTTCAGTTCCATAAGCTAAGTAGTATGTACACGGCGCTTGTATGATTTAAATGCTCCATCCTTGTGAGGTGCCATCAAATGGGTTCCAACTCCGAGTGCCCCCACAAACAACAGAACAAAACCCCACCTGGCTCTGTCCTGTGCCATTTGCACAATTGTTACAGTTGAGTCCACTGGCGCAGCCATTGTGTCAATCCATCTTGTCAAGCGTCTCTCTCTTTTCCACGGCTTGCCTTCTTTACCAAGCATAATGTCCTGCTCCAGAGACTGGTCTCTCCTAACAACGGGTCCAAAATATCTGAGATGGAATCTCACCATCCGTGCTCCTAATGAGCATTCTGAATGTACTTCCTTCAGGACAGGTTTGTTTGTTCTTTCGACAGTCCATGGTACTTTCAATATTCTCCACTAGCATTATAATTAAATGCACTGATTCTTCTTTGTTTTTTTCTTATTCAATATCCAACTTCTACATCCATGTGAAGAGATTGAAAACAAATGCCACAGCTGAGTCAGGTGCACCTTAGTCCTCAAAGTAGCATCCTGTCCTTCAACACTGTAGAGAGATCCGGTGCAGATTGCCCAATGCCACGTGACATTGAATTTTATGACTGCTGATGAGGGATCCAAGCAAGATGAGTTCCATCATTACCAGGGTGTTTCATCACCTGTTTTGTTTTCTACATCAAGACTACATAACCAATCTTTTAAATGCATATATTGTTTCCCAGCTTATCTTTTTTTTTGTTCAGTTTCTCTCTTCTTAAAACATAATGGTGTTTTTATTAAGAAGTTTGCATCAATCTATTGTTTTATAATCTCAGATCCTGTAATCCATTTCACAAAGGGTTTTTCCACCTCAGAATTACAATACTTTTCTACATATTCTTCTGGTATTTTGTGGCTTTTATTTTTAACACTTAAAATTAGAGTCCATCAGGAACTTATTTTGGTTTATCGATTACAGTTAAGATTTCATTTTATTTCCAAATGGGTAGCCTTTTTTATTTTATATTAGTATCAAATATCTCAGTTGGAAATGCTAATTTGACCATATTGTAAATCTCTAAACAGGCATGAGTCTGTTTCTGGGCTCTGTCCTGTCCAATTGTCCAGAACAGCACATGTTTAATTTCTATAGCTGTACAGTATGCTTTGATATGGAGTGAGCAGTAGACAAGCCCCTGCTTGTTCTTTGTTCTCTCAAGTATGTAATCTGATGAACTGACACCCACATATAGATACACACACATACACACACACACACCCAAATTAGGGAGCCAGCTTATGGACTAATGTGGGGGGATTTTCTTGTTTGGGTTGTAGCCAGGCATGTATACAAAGAACATTTCTTTAATGTTAAGAAACAATTCAAATGAGAGTTGAAGTACATAATTTAGGGAAATACTAAGGATGGAGTAGGCCAGGAGGAAAAGACAAAATAAGAAATAAAAGAGAGGCTAAAGAAACATCTTCCTCCTGTTTCTCATCTCCTCTCTCTCCATTTATTTTGCTGCTGTTTTCCTCTTACAAAGGCAGAGACGTTTTTAGCTTTATTTTTTTGCACTTCACAAGCGGAATGGCCAAGTAAACAATGAAGCAATTGCCCAGGGAAATAAATTAATATAAAAGGTCTAAATAATTCAAGTCGGATTTCTCCTTTCGCCTGCCCTTTGCAAAGTGTTGTTGTTGGTTTTGTAACCCATAGTGTCTGTATAATTATTTCTGTCCCTCCTTCACTTGCCTCTGAAGACAATGCTTCAGGTTCAGCAGTTCTAATACACAGTGGTGGGGTAGGGGATGGTGGTAATATGACATCTTGGCAACAAATGTACAACTGTGCTTGGCACAACGATGGATGTATGGATTGTGATAAGAATTGTACAAGCCCCCAATAAAATGATTTAAAAGATTGTTGTTGGAATATCCAAGATATTAAACTATTCTTGCAAAACCATGGTTTCAAGCACAGTTGGGGTGGTGGTGGGGATCTAAGACTTAAAAAAAATGTAAAATCTTCACATATGTTTTAAAGATGCATTTTTTAAAAAGATGCAACAACCCTTTTTTTTTTTTTTTTTACATTGGCAACAAATCTAGGTAGCATTTGAAGGTAAAGTCTCTACACAAGCTGCACATTTTACAAGTGTGTGACCCAAAAAATGCCACCACTTTTCTGTACTGTGAAGACCAATGGAGAGGACCTGGTCCATTGGGCAGGTGGGGCGGGTGTGTGTGGGGGTATCAGACTAGAAACCTCACCCTCACAGGAGCATAAGTGTCTGCTTATTCAAACTGTCACTGTGGGTGTTGGAAAACAATATACCATTTTTTGTAGCTCTAAAGGGACAAACTTGGAAGAAGTATGGCCAGAGTGCTCCTTGGAGGCAAGGATGAACAGTCTCAGTCTTAGATACTTTGGACATTGTCCGGAGCCATTCGGCTCA